TGTGAGAATAGGTACTTTGGGATGCCTTAGCACCTACTCATGGAGGCACAAATCTAAAGTACCAAAGTGTCAGCAGAAAGAACTTCATTCATAGCTGCCCAGATAGCCAGGACCTACCAGAGCAGCCAGCTGAGCAGCAGTGCATGGAGTACTAAGATGTTGGGTGATTAAAGCTGAGCTAGAATTCCAGAATAGAAAGGATAGTTTATCTGCTTACACTAGGCTTTTATGTCTCTGTAGCCTTTTTTTTTTACATTAGAGTCCATGGAGTTCTCCACAATGGTCTTGATGTGGGAAAAAATAATGGTGCAATGAACTTGAAATGATTTTGAGCCCTTATCAGGGGGAGAGTAATGAGCGTGATTGCCTGCTATCCCATTTCTTTTTGCAAAATATTGGCTTTTGGTTAAAATTCTTACGCTTCAGAGTGGGCAGAGATAATGTGAATTTTCAAATGTTGACAAATGTGAAATAGAAGCATATCTTGTATCTATAGTCAGACTGAAGCACTGTCTCTGGGCAGCATCTTCCTCTTACCTAAGGAGCAGCCTAGAGTTCAGTGCCATTAGTTTGTTTTAAAGGCATTGCATGCCACTAGGCAGAGGATGAGTAATGGCTGAAACATATAGAAACCTCTAGACCTTGTCAAGATGTCAAAACACACGTAATTTGTGCCTTCTAACAAACAAACTGTAAAAAGTTTTTAAAAACCCTCCCAAAACATGCTCCATAATTTTATGGGCCTCAGTTCCTAACACAATTGTAAGCATTTTAGTTCAGATCAGGGTTGTCTGGAAAACTTGGGATCCCTGCTTCTGCATTTTTCTTCTCTGAATCAGAGAAAATTTTACTTTTCTACACTCTGCTTCTTTCTCTATTACCCAGGTAACCCTTGGATAAATGTTATTTTTTCTCTGTGCCTCTTTCCTTGGCGACTTTCCAATGCCGCTGGGTCCTTTTCAGAACTATCACCTCTCCCAAGTCTGGTAACTACAAAACAAGGAACTTGGCTTTAATGCCTGTCCTTTAAGTTCTCTATGTAAGAAAGAAAATGCCACCAGTTCAGTCCTTCTCCTTTCAAATTACTTTTGCTGGATTGCTTTCTGATTGCTTTATTTTGTCCAGTGTCCTAGGCATTCTGCTTAAGCTAGTATTAAATGAAATCTGTTACCTTAAATTCAAGTGATTTTCTATATGTAGAAAGATTCAATAATCCATAGAATTCAGAACTTACGTATTGTCAAGTTTTCTGAATTGTTGGACCTAGTGTGAGAATAAGTCATTGACTGCTGTCAACCATGAAATAATTATTCACTTTGTGTTTGGGTTTGTTTTGTTGACAGTGGAATTTTGCAGGTCTTTGTAGGTACTGTTGCATTAGCACAAGTCTGAAGTAAAAGGCTTGACACAGAAAAAAAAAAAACCTAAAGTTGAAAACTAAAACTGCCAAAGTTCAAAAATAGAGCAATAACCCCAAACGAATAATAAAAATCATAGCTGTATTATTATTTATTACACCATTGAAAAGTACACTACTTGCTTCAGAGCGCAGTAATGTTCCTTGTAGCGCTCCCTAGGACATCTTCAGTCCCAAGTCACACAGACCTCGTTATGTTTTGTTATGTTTTGTTATGTTTTCGTTATGTTATTTTATTTTGATTTAGATTAGATAAAAAGTGCCTAGACATCAGCTCAGAGCATTCTGCCAGTTACTAAAAACTATAAAATTGAAGTGCAGTGCTATCAGTTTAACTCTTCTACCAAGCAACACACACAAACGTCAGTGGTCCCTAACATTAATCCACTTACTCCTTCTTCAGAGATGAGATGAAACACACAGAACTAAATCAAATAGTATCTTGCCACCAGCCTTGCCAGCCTCAGATGTGCAAAAATTATGAGTTATGCAATCTCTGAATTTATTAAAAATATTACTTTATTTCTGAGTATTAAGATCAAACTCTGTTCACTTTTGGTTTTATAATTTTATTTCACATGGGTCCTGGAATTGTCATGTTGTCATTTGCAGCAGAGAGCTAGGATGTGAAAATATACCTAGTACATGATACACCTGAGAACAGTGAGCAGTATTAATAACAAAACATGACTTGTCCAGCTGTACGAACTCAGAAGAGATAATTTCAGAAAATATCTTGGACTTAGCAACTTGTAATAAAACACAGATAATTTATGTAGTAAATCAGTGCATTTCAACTAGTTGTACATTTCAGATGAAGAGTCTAGCTAGCTAATTCCTGAGAGGATTTCCTTACTCCTTTTACATACCAGCAGAAATATTTGCTACTGAGAGAACAGTAGTGGAGTTGCTGGCACTTAAAGCCAAGGCTGCATAAACACTGGACTGGTCTCATAGCTGCTGCAACTTCAGTCTGAGGCAGCAAGGTGATATTTTCTTTCAGTCCCTTTCTCAGACTATGCTATTTCTTCTAAATACTGTGTAGAAACAGTTGAACTTTTCTGATCACTATATCTGCAATTGTTCAGATGTACAAAATGATATCCTTTTCTAAAAGATAAGAAAAATTTTAAAAGTTTTAATTTTAGAAAAGCAGCATTTATGATCTAATGATTTATGTCTGTAGAATAGGTAAATATATATTTAATTTTTTTCCATATTTTGAAATGTTGATGAATGTTGTTCTGAGATTCACTTCCATACCTTGCTGCCTTTTCTGGTAATTATTTGAAGCTAGCAGAATTCAGTGACAAAGGCAGGAAGCAATGAGTTAATATCTGTGTTGGCTGGATGTTCACCACGTGAGCAGTTAAGATAGCCAGTGAAGTCCTTGGCTGGCTAGATTTGCAGTGTAATTGTGTATCTGATGATAACACAGGTTGGTTGTTCTTTGGGTGAGAAAAGGTGCTGTTTTTCTTTTTATCTGAGAGTGTCTACAGAATACACTCTTGCTGTCCAGTAATGGGGATGCAATAGAATCACAACCAAATGAGCCTTAGTTTCCTTAATTTGAGTATCAGCAGCTGAGAAATAACACAATTTCAGTTCCAGGCCCTCCAAGCTTGCTGGAGAAAGATAACTCAGTATTCTATTGCATGTCTAATTGTAGCATGGCTCTGTCCTTTATGTTGACATTTCTCTGTTGATGCACCCATTATTTTCAGACTTATCAAATATCTCATTAAATTTTGAATTAACTGTTTGCTGGAGCATTCAAGTTTCAACATGTCAGTGGCCAAACTCCAGAATTTGTCTTGAGACGTTTTTCAGTCTCAGATTTATCCATAACTGTTGCTAATGATAAATTAATAAATTCCAACACTTTTGTAGAAGATAGCCTGCGAGAAATGCAAGATATTCTATCCCGATGATGATGAAAATCAAGATAATGATTTATATACATAACAGGAAGTGTGTATACCTCTGTAACTCAACAATGTGAATTAGAATTGAGGATTTGATTTCCATACCAGTTTTTTTTCATGAAGTCAATTCAGAGGACTGCTCATCATTCATGTTAATGTGAAACAATGAAAAAGAACAAGCAATGAACAGGTCTTTGTAGTAGGGAGATAGTTTTGAGTCGGTAGGTGAAAAATATACTTTTTAGGGAGAATTTATAAACAATAACTGCATGGTTTCCATTTTATACACCACTCAGGCTGTTGCTTGTTTGATAAAACCAATGAGACTGTATGCGCTGGAAAAATCATTAAATAGCAATCGTGTCCCTGTACTTGGCACTGATGAGGTTACACCTTGAATCCTGCTTTCAGTTCTGGGTATTGAGGTGCTGGAGCATATCCAGAGAAGAGCTGTGCAGCTGGGGAAGGGTCTGGAGGACAAGTCCCATGAGGAGAAACTGAGGGAACTAGAGGGGCTTACCCTGGAGAAATGGAGGCTCAGGGGAGACCTTATTGCTCTCTAAAACTGCCTTAAATGAGAGTGTAGCCAGGTGAGGGTTGTCCTCTTCTTACAGGCAACAAGTGGCAGGATGAGATGAAATGATTTCAAGTTGTGCCACAGAAGATTTTGTTGAATATTCTGAAAAAATGACCTAATGGTCAGGCATTGGAATGGGCTGTTCAGGCAAATGGTAAAAGCACAATCCCTGGAAGTGTTCAAAAAATGTGGATGTGGATATGGACGCGGTTTAATGGTGAACATGTTGGTGCTGGATTAGCAGTTTGACTTAATGACCTTAGAGATTTTTTCAACCTTAGAGTTCTATAATTTTGTAATTTAATACATACAAGTAGAAAGTTACATCAGAGAAATACTTTAGTGTAAGATACTCATATATCATCACTGCAAAGGAATTTCTTGCTAATTGTGACACTGTGGATAACTCTCACTGTCTTTTGCTTTGCTTCAATTTGATTTTCATTAAACATTTTTGAGACACTTTACTTGAAGTGTTGAATTGAACCTTTTTATTTTTTTTTTAAATTCCAGTGAGTCTTTTTAAGCCAGAATACTTCCCAGAATTTGGCCCACATGTGTATTGAACATTTCTGCCTTGAACCTCTTACTTTTCAGCAACACATAATACTATGTTGCTGAATAAAACCCATCTGTTCCACACATGTGAATCAGCTGGGGCTACTGTTTGGCACAAAATGGTTGCCAAAATGCTGTCATTTGACTGCGGAGGAAGTGGGAATAGCAAAATTATTTAATCTTGCATACATTTGTAAAATATATTTAACTGTATATTAATTGCCTTTGAATTAAATCCTAATGTTCTTGACTGTCTTCCCAGACTAGAGACTGGCAGGCAGCCCTATGAGAACAAAGAAACACATGCTTATCTTTTGGTGTGATTCGAAAATTACTAGGACCTGTAGCTCGTAGAATTCAGCATTTGTCCAAGTTTACCGTGCACTTAAGCATGGCTTGGGAGTGCCAAGTCTGCATAAAACATGGCTGTATGTGAAGCGCATCTCTGCCTCACAACACCAACGTTAGAGGAGGATGCAGCTGGTGTGTTCTGACAGAAGTGCTCTGTTTCCTTGCGGTGCAGATGGGAAGCCGGTGTCGCTGTCCCCGCTGGAGTCGCAGCCGCACAGCCCTCGGTACACGGCGTCGAGCCTGGAGGTGCGCGTGCGAGAGGTGGAGGAGGAGAACCGCGCGCTGCGCAAGCAGCTCAGCCTGGCCCAGGCCCGGGGCCCCGCGCACCGCCGCGCCAACCACTCCAAAACCTACTCCATGGAGGAGGGCACGGGCGACAGCGAGAGCCTGCGGGCTGGCATTGTGGCGGGGAACAGCTCCGAGTGCGGCCAGCAGCCTGTGGTGGAGAAGTGTGAGGTAAATATGCCAAAGGAACGTGCTAGAAGCAAAGCTTGGTAGATGTGGTCCCTTAAGGACATTGCAGATCCCCGTTTCCTTCCCCTGAAACATTTTCCTCCAAAACCAGCGTCTTAAAGGTGGTGCGTGCGTGCAACTTTTTGGATAATTTTTTATTATTCTTTTTAAAAAAGCCTTTAATGCATTTGTCATCAGAATATCTTCTGAGTTTTTATTTCATCACAGCGTTTTGTCTTTTTCATTCCTGTGTCCCCAAACCTGATATAAAAATCAAAGCCTTGCTTCTAGCTGACTTCACTGCAGCTCTGCAGATAAAGACCTGTGGCGAACTGACCCTGTGTATTTTAAATAATAATTACTCCAGAGTGCTTAGAAAAGCCTTATTTCTTTGTTTCTGTGCCTATATTGAAACAGTTCAGGATTCATGATTAATTAAATGGTGGTTCATGGAGCCAGCCTGTGCTTTTGACTCACTTTGAGGAGTGTATCTGGATGTTGCTGTGGGAGCAGATGCTTTGTGTGAGCCGTGCACTAGCAGTGTGCTTGGCTGCAGGAACAGGCAATCTGCTTCTGAGACCGTTTTGGTGTGGTTGGTTTGGTTTTCGCCATTTTATGTCAGTACTTCTGTGGATGTCATCCAGATACTTAGTTGTGAGATGTCTGAATGATGACAGGTCCAAATATGAATAGATCCAAAACAGAAAGTCTCGCTTAAAGGCCTTGTGCCAATCTCAGCTGATAAAGTTATCAAAAATAACTTCCTCCATTTATTTCTACAAAGAGGGTAATACCATATCACCTTCTATCTTGCTTGCTGCCACTTGGAAGATAAAAGTTGAAAGAAAATTGGTGCAAAAGGAAAAAGAAATCCTAACTATCTCTTAATATAAATTCTGTTCAATGAGAAAATATCAAACACAGTTTGAAAATGAACTGCTGCTTTCCAGTTGGATATCTTTGTCCAACAAGGTAGAAAAAAGGAAACAATGTTATTGTAAGGAGAGGGAAGAGGAGGTTTTTGTTTTTCATTTTCCCTCCTCCACATAATGAGGGCCTGATTTTCCTCAGTGTGAGATTTTTGGCATTTCTTTTAATCAGGCAATCAGCAAACCTCACTTTTCCCTTATTATTATTATATTAAGGAGTGATGAGCCAAATCTCAGTTCTTGGTTGTTCAATGTACCAACCAATCTAGGACACAAAAACACTAGCTTAAAGTAGGGATAGTTTAAGTGGCCTTAAAGTTTGTAATGTGTTTTGCCAATGAGTTTGCTTGCTCAGTGGGGTTTAGCACTGCTGGAGGCAATGCTTGTATAAAATACGAAATCTCACATTATTTGCCATCCCCCTATTTCACTGCATGCTATTTTGATCTCAACTTCTTACTCTTCTCTTAAGGAATTCAGTCAGTAACTCAGTTACAGCAATGGAAGTGAAAATGAAACTTCCCTATTGCCAGATTTGCCAAGGGTCTCATCATTTATCCTGTTAATGTAGATTCTTGTCTTGTTTGTGTGAGGGGCATCTTGATGCCTTTCCTTCTCTGGTTCTTTTCTGTGTTTCAGATGTGTGAACAAAGGGGTTTTTAGCTTCTGACTCTGGAATATATCACAGCAAGAGTTGACAAATTGGGTAGTGAGAAACAAGGGTTCTTAGGAAGAAGACTCTTGCTCTGGTGGAGACTAAGAGTGCCAGGAATGGATTGTTCATTTCATTGAGTCTGTGCTTAGAGATTTACTGGTGATAACATTTCACAATCTAATTTGGGAAGGTCTTTAATGGTGATTAAAACATTTGAAAATGCAGTTACAATGAATGAACATTAAATCTCTGATAAAGCATCATCTATGTGATGTTAATTGTGATCTATATCAGATAGCTGTGGGTTTGTTGCATTCCAGCCACAGCCTTCTACTCTTGCATCACAGGAGAGCTCTTCTGATACTTTAAAATGGACCAGCATTATACTGCAAGAAAAATATCAGACACCCAAACAAGGGGCTCCTCCCTTGTGCGAGCAGATGCCCATTATGCCTTCCCAGGAGTAGACCATTTGAACACAAACCTTGGAAATATGAGTAAGCATAGTCCTTACACAGATGTCAGAAGTAACAGCAGGCTTCAGAAGGAGAGCATAATGCCATTGGAAGTTAACAAAATTTTATGCCTTTTTCTTACAGTGTTATCCCACTATCTTTCCATCTTGTGCCTCCCTAAACTGAGCATTTACTTGAATTGCGTATTTATAAATATTTTTGAAAGATACTATATATTAGGAAATTGATAATTAGCAGTATAGCATTTAGTGGCTTAGCAAGATACTTAACATTTGAAGCATTTTAGAGGCATATTTGTATTGTTCCTGTTCTCCACAGTATTGTTCAGTAGGGTTAAGTGTGTAGTGCTCCACAGCCATCAAAAACAGATCCTCACCAACATCAGCAGTGTAACACATGTAAAGCAGATTTTATCTGCCACTGGGGAAAAAAAACCCTGGAAACAAACACAAGTATTTTGTAACATACTTGTAATATCTCTTAATCACATTCAACAGTTATTTATGAAGGATTAAATATCTACAATGGAAAGTCTACTGGAAAATTACTGAGGTATGAAATGTCTTACCAAAGATTATTTTTAACTATAAGGACTAATACAGGTTTTTTAAACTCATTATTTTAACATTCCAAAAAGTAGCCCAAGGAGAAAAAATAGTTATGCGTGCTTATCTAGGCACTGTATACTCCTCATCAGTATGGATCTAGGGCCCAGTTCTTCATGTAGAAGAACTGGGTTTTGTATATTTTCTTCACATTAATATTATGCCAGAACATGAAATACTGCATTTAGAGGCAGGCTTTTCCTGGTGTGTAGTGGCTGAGGTAAGAGTTTTGAGCTACATTAGCATATACCTTGGTATGACTTAAACTCCCTTTCCTAAAGAAGCTTAGCTGCCTTAAGTACCTTGAAGCACCTACACCTGAGTGCTTCCTAAACTATTTACAATTAAAAATAGTTCAGTTGGTGTCCCTGATCCTCAGCCTGTAGGGAGAATGTTGTGATGCACTTCCACAGTGTTTTGATTACCTCTTCATATCTCTGTGTATAAACAGAAGAAGAATTCATTGACTCTGTATCGTCAGGCGTATCATCATTTCTTTTGTTGCTGCAGTTACAGAGTTACATTATCCAAAAGCATCTCCAGTGAATGACCTGAGTCCAAACTGCTGCAGCAAATGGTGAGCACATCCACACTTTGAAGAGAGGATTAGGAAGGTGGACACTTTGAATGCTCAGTTTGGTCCTGCAGCGATTTTGAAATATCCAGGCTAGAGTGTAACTAGTGTTATCTAAAACTGCCATGGAATGCCAGCAGTAAAGGGGCAAGTGTAACATGCAGAGCCTTGTGTAAGAAGTTTGGTGCGACATGTCGAGCCAAACAGGCAGGCTGACACTTGCAGTGGAAGTTGGAGCATTCTTTGGTCATGTGGCTTTAGTCTGTGGTGTTAGCTGCAGTCATTGGGTCTGGAGGTTGTGTGAATCACAGTGGCCAATTCTGGTGGGATGGGGGATACACTCTTCCAGCCATCTGCTGATGGATAAAAGGAGTTTGGGAGAAGTGTCAGTTTTCAAAATCTGAGAGGTGATGCTTACAGTAGTATGCTCAGGAGGGTGCAAGTTCTTTCAAGTGCTTATTACAGCCATATCTTGCCAGAATCTGGGTACAGCCAGCTGCTCTCAATCCAAACATGCATTTGGAACAAGAGTGGAGAAAACTGGAAATAATGTTTTTCCCCTTGGGATGCAAACATCTGCAGGTAGTTCCGGCTGATAACTTCATTTGGCTTATCTGTTTTTCCACTGACTTTGTTTAACAGTTAAACAACAAGAGAGAGGAAGGTTGATCAAGGAAAGGAGAGGAATAGACTGAGCCTTGAAGCATGCTGCAGGAAAAAAATTTGGACAGAAAAGGTTTTGATTTCTGTTCTCTTTGAGTATTATTGCTCTGTTGTTTAACTGATTGCAGGCAGGAATAGAAGTGATATGTAATATCAAACACCACAGAGAGGCTGAGCAGAAGGTACATGGATGCCTGTGTCTCTGTGCTGGAAGAGAGCATTCAGAAACGTAGTAAGTGCTGCTCTCATTGTGTCCTGGCTGAAGCAGCATCCAAGGCAACAGCAGCTACTAGAAGACAGCAAGGAATGCATGCTTTCAATTCTGAAACAAACTGATTTAGTAAAAGGAGAACAGATGTGGGCAAGAACTTGACACAATAAATTCTGATTTGGAGGGAAGTTGTAAGGTAGAGAGAGTGGCTTTGAGGAGAGCTTTTCTGGCAAGTGTAGGTGGTATAAAACAATGTTGACTGTATATGACAGTGCTATTCTGTGGAAACCCCTAAAATGTTTGTTTCTGGTCTAGTGCCTTCAGGTGAAATGTTTAAAGCAAGGGTGAAACTGTTCTCAGTTAATTTGATTTTAATTGGCACTGAGGGGAAGGATTTTAGATCGGGAAGGATTTTAGATCTTCCAGAAGCCTGGGAGGGAGACCAGGTGACAATGAGAGGAGGCAGTTCGTGTAGGATCAGGAATCAGTGCACCCACAGCAACCTATGCCAATGAGTACATTACAGACTCCTGCTGTAATAAAAGTCATTAATAAGCAGTCTCTGTTCTCCCCTCTTATCACAAGAGAGGAACACAATCAATTTTTGCCAAGTGTTGAGTGTGCTCGGCTCCCATTGACTTTAACATAAAGTGCTAATACCTCACAGAGTGGCTGCCAAAATGTACTACAGTACATTCTTTCTCACACCTCTCTGGACAGGCAGTTGTCTTATTAATTCAAGTCCTCTTAAAACATCAGATCTTAAATATGCCTGAGCTTGTGAAGCACAGCAGGGCTGGAGGGAGCTGTGATGTTCATGTGGATGTTCCACTGTGGCACAGCCACTTGGCACTTGTATGATTCAAGTTGTGCCTTGTACCAGGGGATCTTAATGGATGGGGCTGTGGGCTCTTCAGATGTGCCCAACACATGGCACTTCTTGTGTAAATGTGCTTCTGTTACAAGCCAGGCTTTGGGAATCTGTGGCTACGTGAGGAGACAGAATTCCTCATTTGTTCTCAGCATAGTGGGCATTCTGTGGAAAATGAGAGCTGTGTGTGTGAGAAACCAGCTAACCAAGCTTCAAATGGAAGCCAAATGAGGCTTCCCTGCAGTTTCACAGCTGTGTCCCCAATGGCTGCTTTGTGCTGACAGCATGGTGAACTCTGCTTCATTTCTGTGACCACTAAGAAACAGAAGATCACAGAACCTGGAGTCAAAACTTGATAGGATTAATTTTTTTTGTCCCTAGGGAGCAGAAATGGCTACTTTTTAAAAGCAGAGCGGAGTAACGTGATAGCATTTTTCAGATTAGTACTTACTGCTAAATAATGACTCGTAGCGCCTTTTCAATTTTCCCTTTCCTCCTGAAGAGATGAGGGAACCTCTGCCTCATGTTAAAAGGGAGGTAAAAAGGCACAGAATAAGTGATAATTTACCAGTGTCATGAGATGGAGAGAATGTGTTTGTGGGGGTTGTGTTGTGTGGGGGTTGTGTTGTGGGGTCACATTAATGCTGCCAGAACAGCCCGTGCTGGTAGTCACAGCCTGTGTCCCATCGCATCACTGGGATGCATCCAGCCCTGGCAGACCAATAGTCACAGTCATGTTCATCCATGAGAGCTTGCTCACCCTCTCCATAGGGGCTGTGCATAAGACAGAAATAATTCAAAACTTCTGAGATCATACCTGCTTCTAATTATCAGACACAATTTTAAACTTTAGTTCAGGAGATTAAAAATATCTGTATGTTTGCACACTCAGGATTTTGTGTGCTGCTTACTTGGGGAGGGTGTGTGTACATACATGCACATGTATGTCTTAGCTAATAAATGTTTGAGTAGAATTCTACTCAAACATCTGATGTAATTTAGTGGTAGTAATGACTTTGGAATGATGATGGTGCTATAACTCAATTAAGATGTTTTTAGCAAACTGCCTCAAGTGGGTTGCAAACAGCTGCAAAACACCCACTCAAATCCCTAACAATTGCAGCACTGAACAACAGCAGTGTCATGTGTGTGCTCTCCTTAACAAGTGACGAGCACAGGAGCAGGCTTTAATTTTGTTCTTTTTGTTCCTTTTCTCCCACAGACTATCCACGTTGCCATTGTCTGTGCAGGGTACAATGCCAGTCGGGATGTTGTCACACTCGTCAAGTCTGTCTTATTTCACAGGTAAAGGAAGCTTTCTTTTCCTGTATATTGTGTATCTGATTATTACTACGTGAGCTTTTTGTAGGTTTACTGTGTTACTTCAAAAGAAGGTCAGATTCCCTTCCCTGGTTCCTTTCTCTTTTTAAGGAATGAAACATTTAATTCATGATCCTCTCAAATAGATTTCACCTGCTTGAAGATTTTCTACAGTGAGTAAGAGGGATCAGAGATCCACCTGCTGCTCCTGTTGCATTGTGGGAATAGGGATTGTATCTATCTTCACTGTAAAGCATCTACACACTCCTGAATGCTGTAAAATAGTGATAATGGTAATAACAGTGTTGTATTCATTTAGCCTATTTCTGGTATCAGTTTATGGCACAGGTGTAGATGATAAATTCACATTGGTTGCTTAACTGTCCCAGATTCCAATTTTGATATTTGTTTTTGAAGTAAACCTGCTGTTACAGTCAGTATATACACTATTTCATTAAATTCAGGTGCTTTATTCTGGCTTTGGACTGGCTGCTGACAGTCCCACAGAAGGTTTTGCAGCCTGGTGTTAGCACAGTTAGCTCCCAAAGTTGAGAGGCATAAATGTTCAATGAAAACAAAATAACCAATTCCCTTAATAGACAGCAACTCCGGAAAAAGAGAATTCACATTAAACTCTGTGTGGGCATATGTGTGTATCCATTGTCCAGCTTCGAAATTCTCTCAGAAGTGCTTTCCTGTGATGTTGCCAAAAGTGGATTAAAATTGGGGAAGTGATCAGACTGTTTGATTCAAACAGGATAAATAGACTAGTAAAATATGCTTACAGTACAAACAACTTATTGAGGGAGGTAGTTTTAATATGCTGCTTTTTTTTGAAAGACAATTTTGTGCAAGAGTGAATTACTTTTGTTCATGTCATGTGGTAATATTTTCTTGTGTCTGTCGTGAGTGGGGCATTCCAGTCCCACACTTTGCTCCTTATATTTGCCTCCCGTCTCCTGCTGGAAGCCTTAGTAGTCATTCCCTGACAATGGTTTTAGTACACCATTTTGTCATTTTTGGTAAGCTTCCTAAAATAATATAGATGCTCACCTTGTCCAGTATGAAAAAAGACCCCATAAGTATTGTTTAATCAAAATAGGAGAGCAGCTTCCATTATCAACGCGCAATCTTTGCAAGTCTTTTGAGCAGTAGCATGTTCATGTTAGATGGGGGTAGGACCAGAAGAACAATGCTAAAAAACATAACAAAAGCAAAAATACAGTAAATATCCATGTCATTGTCTTTGGGGGATTTTACTAAACGTTAAAATTCTGGTAAATGGTAAAACTATATGTATTTCCAATTAGAAGTTTGAGTTGTTCAGTGTAAACTGGGTTTATATTGCAAGGATGTGGGGAGGTTTTGTATTTTTTTTTGTTGTTTCTAAGGGATTTAATGGAAAATCATATTTTTGTGGTGACACTAGTTATCCTATTGGTAAGTTTCTCCCTGTTTGTCTATTCTAATACTTGCATCCATTTTGAGAAGGCTTTAATCTCTCTGTTTGCAAATTTTCTGTAAATAATAGGCATCTCACAGCTCAAAGGTTTAAACAACCTCTCTCTGTTCTTTAAAGGAAATGTCCCTGTTTTACTTAAGGCACTTCTCTGAGCAATTAGCAAATTTATAAACAATACTGTCATGTAATTAAATTATTAAATAATAAAAATTAAAATGTTTAAACAAAAAAGATAATTAATATTGGTATTTCTAAGTCTGATGGATTCTGCCTCTGTCAAGAACATACTGGTTTTGGCCTGCACTGCTGCTCATGTCGAAGGATTCGTTGAACTCAGCAGAGGTGGTCAAGATAAAGTCCAGTATAGCTAATGAAACCTGAGCCCATTCCAGATAACCTATCTCCCTTGTTTGCTCAGAACACACTTAAAGACAAGTCTAAGTCCATTCCTGCCTAAAACTAGGGTTTCTCACTAGGTATTAAATTGTTTGCTAGAAAGAGAAGATATTCTCAGAAAAGAGACAGAGACAGACATTTCTTTGTTATCTTCTAGAAAACACAGACTTCTTAAGCATCAGTTGATGCTATGACTCCATGGCCATGCTTCAGTAGCACTCCTTTCTTGGATCTTTATCTTTGGAATGGCAGTTCTGTAGAAGGATGCAGAATAAGCAAAAAGAAACAACAAATTAGGCTGAATATTGATTTAGAACTAAGTTTCTTTGCTTTGGTTGCCATGTGCAAATGGTGTTATTTTGGAGACCACTATGCAATTTAGAAATGGTGATGATTGGAAAGGCTTCTTTTAGTTGGTATGATCTGTTTAATTTTAGGAATGAAGAACGAAGACAGGTCATGATAGTGCATTTAGGAGGATTGAATTAGGAGAGTTGGGAGTGGTTGGTTCAGATAGTCAGTGCTTCATGATGTCAGCATCAAGTTTACCTCTGACTTGAGGGTCGTCAGTGAGAACAGGCATGGAGATGTCCCTTCTTCTAACCCTAAATATGCACCAGGGGGTGCATGCTAGCTGGCATTGACCAAAAAGCCATTGTTTGAAAGATCTCTATGCTTCCAATGGAGAAGTTTGCTTAACAAGAAGTTTGTTATCCTAATCTCTAAGTTAGACTTCTGGTCCTTCATTTCCAGTATCACCACATTCAATTTTAACAGTTTTGCAAGAACAGAAAAAACATGCTGCCAAACTTATTGTCACAGAGATTTTGTTTTTCCTTGGACACACCCTGAATTCAATCTACTGATGAAACAACTGACCCCTCAAAGCAACCAGACTTAATGTCCTCACCTGTCTTCCTGCACCTCAGTTGGTGTTTGTTGTAAGACACTGATGTCACTGAATCTATGTGGAATTCATGAAGATGTCATGTCCTTCTTTTGGCATTTCTGTACAGGTTATTATTTAAGTAATTTGGCATTTCTGTACAGGTTAGTAATGTTTTAGCATGCATTTTGATACAAACCTATATACCTAAATTCCCTACTTCCATAGGAAATCTCTACTTCTCTAATAGAAAAGCTCTGAGAAAAGGAGGCCATATCAGTCTAATCCCAGGGAGCATTAACATATTTGTTATACCCCCAACTTTAGCTAGAGTACTAAATAGAAACTCAAAGCAGCAGGAGTGCTGGGTCATTAAGGATAAAAGCTACAGGATTTTCTGTAGATGGAGTGTGCTGTCTCTCCTCTCTTGCAGGAATGTACAGCAAATCGTGCATATTGAACATTTCAGCTCTCCACAGGCCTAAAACACCAAGATTTGAGTCATACCATATATATTATGAGACTTAGGCAAGCTACTTGTTCAGACCATTTGAGAAACCACATCTATCTTCAGATTCCAGAGTGGGAAAAGGAGAGGAAAGGGGTAGTGTGATTGATTCCACATAAGAACACCATAATTCAGAAATATATTTCATTCCCAGTGATAAAGGAGCTTGATTCCAGTTTTGTCTTTCAAAAATGTATGCTCCAGCCACAAAATCCAGCAGCTTTTAACACCCAGTTTGACATAACTGACAGTCTGTTCTCAGGAGGAGACTCAGCAGAGCTGGGATAGTGCAGGGCTTGCAGTCTGATAAATATGCATTGGCAGCACTGCACAGAGGGAGGCTGGTAGAATGAATACTCAGTCCTACTCTGCAACTTTGCCACTTTCCTTTCTTGCACATCCAGTTCCCAATTATGACAGATTTTATAAAGCCATTGCAGGGGTAAAAAAAAATTGTCTGAGTTTAACACAAGCATATCACCATGTCCTCAGAGCAGCCTCATTTTAGTTGTTCCAAACCAAAAGACTAAACACTAAAAATGTATTATATTGGGTCAAATAGGCAGAATGAAGTGCAAATACTTTTGGAAACAGTGATTATAGTGGTAAGCTAAAAAGCACCTGCATTTCTTTGTCAAAATTGAAGCAGTTTTCTGTGGTTGATAATGTTCCTTGAATCTTTTGCAGCTATTGGTCCAAGTTACATTGGTAATTTTTTCAATGTTTTACTCCATTTCTGAAAATTGCAAACCTTAGAGTGCTACAGAAACAGCCCACAATCCTAGTTACACATTAAAAAGATAATTTCTCAGTTCGGGTAAGTCTTAACTTGAGTAAGAGCTAAAATGGTTTTTAATGTGTCCTTTTTCAAAGACGTGCCTAACACTATGTTTCATTTGGAAACAAAATAAAAAACAAACTTACACAATTATAGCATGTTTCTGGCAGTTAGGTCAGCCTGACAATCTGTAAACAATTAACTTCTCTTTTGTGCCAGCAAGTACTGTGTTGGTTTTTTGTGGCCTTCTGGTTTTTTCCCCACTGTGTCAGTCCCTCTTCTTCACAGGAGACACTACATTTACTTCTTTGGCTGAACTCTCCATTTACACTACAGCAATAGTGGCATAGGAGTGTGGGGGCTTTGGAAGAAATGTAAACAAAACCAGACAACCAGACAAATGCTTTTTAATATGAAGTTGCCTCTCTGCTTTAAGAAAGCTGCTTGTAACCTTTAAGTTAAGTGTACGTCTGAGCATTTTTAAGAACAGGATATGAAGCTGTGTTACAGAATGCTGTAAGAATAATGAACTCTTTTTTTTTTTTTTTCTCAGAACAAGTAGAATAAGACAAAGCAAATGAAAATCTAAATTAAATTAAAAGGATGACATGTAATTTCCAAGTAAAAGCCACAAGTCAACACTGGCTGATAATTAAAGCTTATATAATCTAATGGCTATATTCCATTGAGACCACTTTGCCTTAATGGAGTTAATTTGAGAATTCAAAGCCTCTGACAGTGTTTCCAACTTTTCTGATGTGTCAGTCTATTTTGTGTGAGGTTTTTCTGGCAAAACACATAAAGTGTGGCCTGGTTTCTCTGATCCATATGAATGCATCAACAATACACACTTTTTGTTTTTTCTAAGTGTCCTAACAATAGAAGCATAATGGAGAAAGCAATGTTTAAAAAAATCTGTTCATGATTTACTCTTAGTACTTCTCAAAGAAGTTCTGTAAGTAAACACTAAACAAGAAGATCCATTAGTGATGCAGCAAGTGTGTATTTAGTCTCTCTCCAATAGTTTGGGGAGCATTTTCATCAATACCACATCAAATGGGTGTGAAGTGATATAAAAACATCTTGAAGATTTTCACATTAAAATTTTTCTCATATGAGAGAGGGATTGTCATATGGGCATTAGGAGAAAAAGTTTCCCAAACTGCCTTTTATAATTCCTGTTTGAAGTTCTTGTAACCATTTGTTAGAGATATAAGAGGTACTACCTTGTTGTGCTTCCCTTAATAAAGTATAGGTTTTGGAAATAAACCCCCTGGACTACTGACCTTTTTGTATTCTTAGAAAATAAAATTTCTCTGTTGCAGAGAGAGAACTGTGTAACCAAGCAGCCAAGGAGCTGCCTTTTGAATTACTAACAATTGAGCTATGGAATAGTGCAGAAGGGAAGAGTGAGCCTTGGTTCACTACTCCCTTTCTCAATTGTAGATTTCTGTATTTAACTCTATGGCAGTGGCTATTTGAAAAGAAAGGGCCACAAATGCTTGAGCAAGCAGATCATAAATCTGATGAAGAATAAGAGGTTTTGAAATGCAAGAATAAGACATCATGATAAGAAAAAATGTAGAGAAATGGGTACCTTGGAAGAGACTTCTAAATTTATGGCCTGACTTTTAAAAAATTGACACCTTTTCATTTTCCTAACTTTATAGGACCTCAGCAATTTTGAAAATGAGGGCATTCATTCAAACTCCTATATTTAGGCCTAAGAACCTATACTTAAGCATCCATGCTTGAAAATCTTGGCTAGAATCTCCCTTTGTTCACTTTTGAGGAAAGTAATTTAGGAAAGTAAATGTGTGCTTTTTACATATGGTTTACTTCATCATATAGTGTTCTGATCTTAAGATAAGTGGAAATAAGTTAATATAGGAAGATTTGCAGTTTTCTGAACAGAGTACTTAGAACCTTAAGTTTCCACTTGATGGGAAATAGCCATATTTTGGAACTCTATTTTACCAAATTAAGACATTAATGCATCAGCATTTTCCATGTAGCAGAAACTGTGAAAAGTTGTAGTTGGTAGAAATTCATATGTTCAAAATCATTGAAGTCAATAAGATTAAGTATTCTTGGACACTGTGAGAAATTTTATGGCTGTTTCAATTCCTGCTTCTGCAGTAAGGAATCTGGAAGACGTGGGGCTCATTGTTATGAAACCTGGGATATTAGAAACATTTATTCCTAAACAGATTAATTCACATGAATACTGAGGACTTTCCAAAACCTGTTAGTTTTGTGTTAGAAGTTTATCACAGTTGCCTTTTATTGACCCATGTTATTCCATAGTTGAATATACTGTCCCCAGTACAGTATAGGGATTTCTATCATTATAAGATACAACCAGCCTTTATGTGTATGGTTTTTTTATTTTTCTTGATGTGCCCTGTGGAAAATGAGCAAAATGTCCCAGTTTAATGTAATTCAACTTTCAGTGGAAATCCTTCACAATATCCTGATTGTCATCCCCAATTCCTAGAGCCACTGATTCAATCATGTTGTCAGATAATCATGACATCTCTTTCATACATCTGTTGAGAAAGATTTCTCATCTTTCAGAATCTCTTCTGTTATAATGAATGTTGGTTGATCTGCAAGCTTCTAAACTTGTTTCTTAAACACTTTGAAACAATCCATATCTTTTAGGCTTCACATATTGCAGACAGCAGAAGAGGTGAAAGATGTCATCTGTGTGTATGCCAGTCTGGTTACCTTCAGAAGGTCTTCCAGCTTTGAGGCTGTGCACTGTTGGCATCCAGCACCGTGCTAAACCTCACATTTCACAGAACTGAAATCTCGTCTGGAGTAAAATTTTTGTGTGGCTGATGCACATTTAGTTGCAGATGTCATCAGGTCCCTATACTGTTTTGGGGATATATTTTTGTAAGTGATAATCTTTTGCCTTGCCTCTGACACACACTTTCCTTCCAGCTGAATCTTTACCATGAGGCTAACAACTTGAAAGAGATTCTGTGTGGGAGTACAGCTATCCTTTTTTCTTTCTCCCAGCAGGAGATGAACTAAAGTAAATGTCACCCACTTGTTCCCATATAAGTTTCATACACTCTGGGTCATTCAGATAAGTATAAACTGCTACTGAACATCTGAGTGTCTTTGTGTCAGATTTTTTCTTTTCAACTAGTGTGTTTCATCTTGAAATATTTTATATAAATTCCATTTAACTAAATGATCATTTGAAAGAAGACGGAGCTTCCTTTTTTTTAACTTAATTTTTGCTCTTCTTATTCTACTTTAGAATATAAGATAAATAACACAGAATGAAAAAGGGAAGGAAATTACTGAAGAACACCAGCTGGGAAATAGTCCTACCAGAACCCAGACTCAGCCCCTCCTTAGCAGAGGGAGCTATGTGGGATGTGTATGTTGATATTGAACATTTATTTGTCTTGAGATACTGCTGTGCCAGTACCCAAAGCCACCGGTGTTGTACTTTGTTTCTCTTGGCCTTGTCTCTAGTAATGAGATGTATCTCCTGATCACTGCTATTTCCTGATTTTTTCCTTGGCAAGGTGCCTGGTTACTGCGGAATCTGCATGAGCCAGGATGTCCTCTTCTACTCTCCTGCTGGGCTGGTGAAGCAAATGTAATTGCTGTGATCCCTTTAGCTTGGTAATGGGACGCTCAGCAGCTGGCAGCTTGTGCCTTTCCCCCTCCCCTCCTCCCTCCAGGACAAGCTGGAGATTGAAAGACCTTTGTCTTCTGAAAAGCGTGTTGTGGCTTAGTGTTTTGGATATTGTTTAAGGCAGATCAGCTGTGGGTTTATTCTGCCATCATGATTATCTCATATATAAGGCTTCTACCCAGCCCTTTCCTGCTTTTCCTGTAAGCACATAATGTGATCCACAGTGTCCTTGAAGCCAATACAGCAGCTTCACTGGCAGCCCCGAGTGCTGGGTTGGATCTGCAAAATCCAGTCATACACTGCTTCTCGCTACAATCTCCTCTTTCTGCTCAGGGGTCTGTTAAAAGACTATGAACAAATATATGTATTTTTACATTTTCCTGTGGACTTTGTTCACTGGGAAGCAGTATTACTCATCAAAGCAAGAAGAGAAACATTAAAAGGAAGGCACACATTTTGTATTAATGTAGAAAATGGAGAAAAAATAACCTTCATTTTTTGGGTTAAGCCCAAAAATGTAATGGAAGTATATTGGCCTGAGCTAACATAGTTTTCCTCACTTTTCATTCTCACTGAAGAATGTAGTAGCATCACTCATCTTCTGCTTTAATCAACATCTGAAACTAAATACTTCTCTTGTTAGATGAAAAATACCAATTAGCAAGTACACTCATTTAGCTTTACAAATTCCATACGAATGAGAATCCACTATTCCACTCTAGGGATCAAAGAAAGGTTGATCCCATGCTGAAGTCTAAACAAGCGTATTTTCCTCTTAGTAGTTTTTTCAAAGTCTGTCCTTTTTTGCTGACAGAGAAAGTTGCTAAGCCAGGGCTAAACATGGAAGACTGCAATTTGTGAGTAATTTCCACTGGTAGGTTTCCTACCGCAGAAGTTAAGATCAAATTTTGTTGCTTATTTCCCCCCAAAAAGGGAGGGAGGTTAAGGGAATTAAACAAGGTATTTGTAATGTCTAAGTTCACATTAGTATAGAAAAACCCATACACTTTGTCAGAGCTTGCCAGTCTTGCTGATACTGGCTTCACCCGTCTTGTTTTGAAGCTTTTCAGTTAGCCTAAGTCGTGTGATTACAGAGGTGAACCCAGATCTCGTGTTTTGAAGTAAAAGGCAGTCTGGTGAGTGCCTTTCTTTAACCCTTAGGAAAAAAGGATATGGTAAGATTTGCAATTTCCATTCTGTTCACTATGCCAGTGAATAGCTAGAAGGCACTCACCTGAAACATCTAATTTTGGGCTCCTATGGGACAGCTGTTGGTTCCCCAAGATTGCTTTGTAGAAAAGTTCTATGTAAACTCAAGGGTCCCAGAATTTAACTTCATTTAAATTGTTACATTTAACCTAGGACAGTCTTCTTACTACAAAGATAAATTACCAGGTTCACCTAGGAACTGAAACAATCATTTCCAAAGCTCAAGTCCCCAAAGGAGCTGGTGCATGGGACAAGACAGGTGTTATAAATCATGACATTCTGCTGGAGTCAAAGGTTCTGTGTGTTCATAGCCACCCAGAAACTGATTGAGTATTGTGTTGTGGTCATGTGTATCCAAATTGTGTCTCAGCGTTTTGGCCGCAGAGCAGGACTCCACCAGACATGCTGCACACTCAAAACTTGACATGGTAGACACAGATAAAACTTTGTAAATTCTGACATTGTCCTTTAAGAACAGGAATTAGAAACCTTTGAACTAACGTGTTCCTCTCCCTCCTCATGTCAGGCGGAACCCGCTCCACTTCCACCTCATCGCAGATGCAATTGCCAAACAGATCCTGGCCACTCTGTTCCAGACGTGGATGGTCCCGGCCGTGCGCATAGACTTCTATGATGCAGATGAGCTCAAGGTAAAGACACACAGACACAGGTGTCAGTCATATCCTTGTGATTTCATGTCACCCTTTGTTCCTCATCTCCCTTGACTGGTGAATTGCAGGGGAACTACTGCCTAAAAATATTCTCCCTGATGACAACTAATTCTAGCTGACGTGGTTGTAACCCCGATTACACGTAATTGGAAGATGCTGAATGGCTCAAATCAGTGCAGTTCTCTAGAATGAGAGCAGCGAATGAAATGTTTTGTGTAGCAGCTTAGAATCTCACTTGCTAGCAAGAGGATTCTGGCTGTCCATCTGATCACACTATGTTTTTTTAAGGATATTTCTTCCTAGTAGCAATGGTGAAATCTTAAGAATCTTGTTCAATAAACCCAAGTCTGTTACTGGAAACACCTAACTGCCTTGCATTCCTCAAGCACAGGTGTGTGAAACTCTAAGTACACACACTTCGACAAGGTAGCATTAGTACAATAGCTAACTTTTTTGTATGGATGCCCTTCCAAAAGAAATTATTGTTGAAAGAGTTCAGTCAACGGGGTGGGGGGGTTGGGAATCACTTACTCAAAGTAATTATCTTTTCATACTTAAAAAGTTTAAATCAGAACATGGAGGCACAACATCGATTTGGAGCTGTATGTTTTTTTTACCTGTGGAGGTAGAATGAAGTATTCAGACTTTAGCATTTGAAGTTGTTGGCAGTAATTTGTATGACTTACCAGATTGTTCTGAACAGGACCCTGAAACAAGGAAAAAAACCCTAAATTTAGCAAATTGCTATACTTACTAAAAGGGAAATTCAAAGCACACCGCGTTGTGAAATATTGAATACAGAAGGCTTTAGAAAGAGATGGAAAAGGGAAAAAAGTGATTCTTGAGCAAAATACTTTGTTTCTGTTTTTATTTTTCATTGGTTCTTTTACATGAAGCCATAAGCTGATATTAACCTAATTAGCCAGAGATCCCCCTTCTGTTCTTTATAGCTTTATAGCAAGGAAGAGGTTTTTTCCTATCAATCTTGTATGTGTCTATATTACATGTGCTTTTCTGCAAATTGTAGGGTTTTTAATTAGTGTCTCAGCTGGGGAAGACAGACCTCTTAGTGTTTTCCTTCTGGCCATTTGGGTATGGTCCAATCTAGTTAAGTAAATAATAATCAAGAGAGCTTACTTCAGTGATCCCCAATTTCTGATTTATAGGCAAAGCACTGAGTAGATATGAGGCTACAGAGCAAAACTGTTTTGTCCCTCCCTCTTCACTCAGCCTTGATTTTTTATATGACTGGTGACCTACATCCACACTAGATTACCTTGCATGCAACCCATAGGCTTTAGGTTGAGGACCAGTATCTAGCTGGATGCAGGTATTGATGCCTAAATAGGTCTTTCCAGGTTTGCCCCTCTTGTTCAGAGTTCATCATTTTCCATACCAAGCAATTTCCCTGGTTTCAGTGGCCAAAAAACCACAATATATAGTACTGAGCATAGGAGAATGTGATAGACACTGGCAAAGGAGAGCAAAGAGTTATAAATATAAACAGAGTTTTAAAAAACCAGGAATGATGCTGGCTCATATCCAGATCATTCTGCAGGTTTTAGCAAAGACGACAGAGGAGCTGTTTACAGACAGCTGTAGAAGCTCATCTCATTTGTTTCTTATGTAGCCCCTAGAGAGGATTTAATGATTGGTTTAGGTTCATGTATTTCACCTGCACTCTTGGGAGCTGTATTTTGCTGCCTGGTGTTAAGAAAACATAGAGCTGATGCTGGATGTTTACTAGAAAGCTTGTCTTTCTCTGAAGTGATCTATGGATTCACTGTTACAGTATATGCTATGTTTCAGTTTAAATGACCCTCCATAGTTCTTTTTTAAGCCTGCAATCAATACCAATTTCTGACTTTTAAAAGGGTTTAAACTGAGTAATGGCATGAGAACTTTCTGCTTAGCTTTCATTCACTGATGTTCAGTTGTTTTGGAACACATTTTAGCTGCTGCAGAAAACATTTCATTTCATGTTTGTTTTTTTCCCATTGGATATGTATGAGCTTCCAGCCTCTTCCTTCTAATGCAGCAGGAGCTGGCATGTTAGATTAAGCCCTTAAGTCCTAGGAAAAGTCCTGCTTCTACTCCTGTTCCTGCTCAAACAGTGGAAGAGAGCACATAATATTAGATCCTCCATAAATAATATGGATGCTTTTTTGTTTTCAAGTAGCTATTTAGAATTCAGGCAACAGTTTCCAGTAGCATATTAATTTTTTAAAAGGCAGAATTTGGAGATTAAAGTATTTGGTATTTGGCAGTGTTTCTTAACATATCCTGCAGCTCTTAAAATACATGCTGTATAGCTTAGAGTTAGAGATACCATTAGTGTCCTGAAGGAAGGCACAGAAAATTAGTCTTGGCTGTGGCTGTTGTTTTCTCTCAGGTTTTAGAGGAAAACTGGACACTTCACTGCAAGAAAGGGAAGACAAGGTATTATGGATTATATCAGAATTTCTAGGGGCAGCAAACCAACATATCTGCTTTGCTGCTGTGAATTAAGCATGTCAGATGTTCCTTTTAAAACTTAGAGAAGACTTATTTTTCCTTTTGCAAGGTGACACAGCAGTTCACATTGCTGTTGCACCACAAAGAGCCTAGGTTCATTCTCTCCCTAGAAGCAGATGCTGCCAAACTACCAGCAGCCTGCTTGGAAGAGAGATGGAGCACAGGAAAGAATGGCCAAGGAAAGGTATATCTTTGCTTGGGGTACATTATAAGGGATGGGATAGAAGAGGAGGAAACTTAACTGTGGAGCTGAGCCAAAATAACAGCATTTCCAGGAACAGGTCAGACACAGTTGAGATGGCAGCTTGCTGGATATATTTCTTTAAACCAGTTAGTTTGAAGATTTTAACAGCCAGTTGTACTAAGATGCTTGTAACCTTCCCCAACATAACTTGGCCTGTCTCCTCACTGCCTTGCCAATAACCTCAAGGAACATGGATGGGTGCTTAAAAGCTCTCCCTCAACTCACTAGCTGTTACGATTTGGAACTCTCTCCCATTAACTAAACCTGCTACGTGCAGTCAATAATCAGCAGTAAGCATCCTTGAAGTGTGGGCTGCTGATAATGGTGCCAGTAATTGAACTATTCCACAGCTACATTCTTCCTTCTTGCACTACTCAGTATGGCCCACACAAAACTCTTCTGAATTTATATGGCCACATATGGCTGTGACTGCAAACTGGAAAGTTACTTGGCAGTGTAAATTCACTTTATCTGATCCCTTTAGTTGTGTTAGTCAGCTTTGGTCCTAATGCATAGACGTATCTAATACAACAATGCATCCCACAAAATAACTGGAAACTGAAAATGGTCTTTGAGCATTAAATAAAAGGGAAAAAAAACTTGTGAAACATTCATCTATTACAGCTGTGATTTGCACATATGTGGCTGCAGGGTATTGTGGTTTTTTCAGTTCAGTCTTACATGAAGAAGCTCCAGAACAAACTATTGAAGGTGTGCAGCTTGGGCACTTGGCTTCTGCACTTCATTGTTAAACATGGAATCTTGTGTCAGTTCACTCCCAGGGAAACACAGGCATTAAATCCATTGTGATCTGCACTGTCCCAAGCAGAAGGAACAGCTGATAAGGCAGTACTGTATGTGATGGGTGGAATACAGATGAAGTGAGTTTGTTTTCCCACATGTTGCTTGACACACTGGTGACAACGTCAGGTGAACTGAAGAGGGCAGAATGTAGAATGAGCAGTTGCCTGCTCTGCTGTGAGTAAATGGCCCAGATACACAGTCCTTTAATCACTGATAGAGCAGAAAAGCCATCTCCTTTAAATGGTTTAGCCCACATGTGCTGCAATTGATTTATGAACTTGAAGGGATGGTGAATAGGGTTTTGATAGATGAACGTTTGATCTGAAAGAGAAATATGGAAAGCTCCATTCTTTGCTATACATATAGACAATATTGCAGCTTTTACTGTTCCCCGAAACAACAGACCACAAATCTGAGTACCAGTGCTGCATTAGGTGATTTCCTATCAGAAATGTTGACATCTGCACTCTCAGTCAAACTCAGTAGTCTGATACGGCACAACCAAACTCAGGTAAAGCATGGCATAAAGATCACCTATCTTTGGGCATTTGCTGCAGTATGAGGTAAATTACTTCTTAGCCACTTTCATCAACTTTGAAGCCAGTTCACTAGGTCAGATATTGACATCATTTAGACAGACATCACAAAATACTCTGAGTTAGAAGGGACACACAAGGATCATCGAGTCCAGCTCTTAAGTGAAGGGTCTGTAGAGAGATTGAACCCACGACCTTGGTGTCATTAGCACCATGCTCCAGCCAGCTGAGCTAATGGGCAAGGGCTATGAGACTTAAGCAGAAAAATAAAGTTTAATTCTTTAATTATGATTGTAGCATAGTTGGTTCTCAGGGCTGTGCCTGTGTGCACCCCTAGTGCACTTAAATTCCCTCAGTGGTCCAGGAACTCCCAGGCTTGATTTCTGCACAGATGAGATAAAGGACTGGTTTGAGACAGCAGCCCAAGCTGAAGCTAGGTGATTGATGGAACTGCTGGCACAAGAAGTATTTGACAGCTTGCTACAGGAGTGGTCCCGGTGGGAATTTCAGACAGTTGTTGAGATTCCCCAGGCAGACCCTGCTGTGCCTAGACCAATTTGTATGCTTAAGCATGTCGATTAACATCCTGGGCAAAGAATCTGGCTGTCCCAGATATTCACAGACAGTTCCTGCTACAAAGTTAATCAATTGTACAAGAGTAAGACAATCAATAGGAACAGTTCCTGCATGTGTAGAAATGATCATGTAGGACAGTCTATTGTACATACTTAAGATAGTTGGGAAATGTTTTGTACATAGGTTAAGGTGATCTATACCCATAATATATATCTTGCAGTGGTCAGGTAGGACCATGGGTCAGCTGGGTTACAAAAGTTGTACAGAAATATGTTTTAGGGAGTCTCACCCAATCCAGATAAGAT